TTAAGTTTTTATTGACAGTCACTGAAATAGATATCTTCTCTAGTGTGTAATGTCACCTAAAATGATTACCTTTGAACCTTCATAACAGTTACCTCTTTAGGTAAAAATTAGTTATTTAATTTTTTATTTATAAAAATATTAATTTGCATACTGTAGATTATGCACCTGGGTGTGATTTTTTTCTATTTACTTTGGGGCCCTGGGATCTGTATGGCCTGTTGATTTCAAAATCATCTTCAACAGAATACAGAAGAAGGTGATTAAATATGTTCTTATGATTGGATAAAGTATCTCATTAACTAGTGCCCTTAGAAATACATTTATTGTCTATGAAACTGGTACAAATACAGAGCTGTAAAAAAATCATAGAGCTTTGGACCCATTAAGGTAATTTCTTCTGCTGAGTCACAGGTTTTTTTTGCAGGACAGAGCTGCCATCTTTGGTTGTAGACAGTTAGGAATGACCCCAAAAAAATGTTTATGTTGCTGAAACAGGATTTAGAAGAGATACAGCAAATCTGATGTCTTGTTTTCTTTTGTGCCCCTCAGAAGTCTGTGAACACCCTTTGGGGCTTAGGGATATTTTCTCATATAAGGTTAAGGTTCTGTTCTGGAAAACATTAATGTCTAGTTTTTAGAATCTTGAGACATATAGTGTAAAACTACTATTAATGTGCCCAACAGGCAAAAACACAAAGTCTTTAGGGATACACAGACTGCTAGTTACCACCTGCAAAAAGTGCTTTTTCTCAAGTGAATGGTTATATAGCAATTGCTCTGTAAAGATGTAGGAAAGTATTTTGAATTATGCATGGCACTGTATTAGAAATGAAATATATTTTTTCAGTGGGAGCTTCTGGGCCTTCCTAAAGATCTTTAAGTCTGTCTTATTGTTCATGCCATGACTACTGTACAGAATACCTATGTGAAAGCTTACAAATCTTGTTTGCCTACAGTAAATTAAACATAAATCATAGTGGCTATAAATGGGCAGATGTCTAAAAGAGAGTGATGGTTAGTGAGTTTGCCCTTCCTAATGTGACTCATAAGCTAATTTACATGGTAAAAGTTTTTACTTAAAAGAAAAAAGAAAAAAAACGGTAACTGAAGATTTTGTAAAGTACTACTTGGACCTTAGGTCAGTATCATCACTTAATATTATGTGGTCCAGCCTTAGTTGATTGTTTTCCTGAAAAAGCTGCATTGGCATCCAAAGGACATTTTCCCATAGAGACAATATTTTTTTAAACTATATTGCCATTTTAGTAATATCATTGGTATGTGCAAAGCACTATTTTACACCCTGTTCCCAGCTCAGAGTTTAAGTTTGGGAACATGAAGTTACACCTTTTTGCAATATACAGTACATTAATACACCGTTACCATTTGACAGATATACCACCCCAGTCAATCTCCCCACCTGCCACAGTCCTCAGAACGAGCTTTTGGAGACTGACGCTGGTAATTTTTGGCACAAGACTCACAGTAGGAATGCAGATGATACTTTGATGATGGATACTTTGATCCAGATGGCTAGCATAATCATTAATTACATTATATGTAAACCCCAAAAAATCTCTGTTTTAATTTTAAAGTTTTGCTAGATGTATGTAATGATGTATAACAGTGTGCAGAGGGTTAACTTTCAGTGTTAGCATCATGCCCTTCTAGCACCCCATACATTATATGTATATAAGCTATTTTGATTTCAGAGTGCAGGTGTTAGGAACTAGAGTACCTGTCCATGGTACTGTGGTCCTCAGACCTAAGGGGTAAAGTTCCATTGTCCACTAGTGGTTGTCTCCTAGTAGTCAGCAGATCCCAAGAAATAATCTTCACCTGGGGCTTGCTGCTAGGAAGGCATTTAACGCCTCTTCTGCTGTTTTTACCTGTTTGTCTATACTCTGTTTGCTGTTCCTGGAAACCTCTGATCCTGCCACCTGACCTGCTCCCTGTCCACTCCCTGATCCTGCCATCCTGCCATCCTGCCGCCTGTACTTACTTCCCATGAACTTCCTGATACCACCACAATACCTACTGCCCTTGAACTTGACCCCTGTTCAGGCCATGGCTCCTGACCCATTTTACCCCCAGCTTCTGGTACCCCTCACCTGAACCTTCTATTATTGCCTGTTTGTATATAGTTAGTCAGATAGTTAGGTGGTGAGCTCAAGAACACTTATTGTTTTTTTTTTCATTTAGTTTTTAGTCCAGTCTTCTCTGCAACTCTGCATATGAGGTCACATCTCTTGGCAGAATATCAGCACATGGTATCTTAACATAATGCTTAGGCCAATAACAACCATATTGGGCTGCACAAGGGATCTGTGGGTTGTTTGCTTGTTTGTATTCTACTCACTGTATTATGGGAGCTTGTACCAAGATGGATTCAGATAATGTCCATTACTATGTATTGTTAACAATGGAGGAAAGTGAATATTGCTGTCAGACATTGCAGAGAAAGACTAGTGTACAGTTGCTAGAACACATTTATGTGGCTCATTCCTTTGCTGACCAATGCAGTTTTACATTTAGGGCTGGTCCACCCCAGATGCTTCCCTGTACATTTTTAAAACGCATATTTCCACATATTCCAATGGCCCTAATTTACCCCAGTGCCGTCACTTCCAGTGCTTTCAACAAAAGTAAAACCTGCTGTATTTTTTTTTCCACCAGAATGCACATGTCCTAATGAAAATAAAGATTTTTTTAAAGTGTCCAAATTAAAAAAAGAGGAAACGTGTGTAAATGGATATCCAAAAACACATCCAGAATGCTGAAATTGTGGTGTGAACAAGTCCTTAGTAAAATTCAGCCACTGGTTCAGATCTGCTCTGAGCTGGCTTTACCAGTATACTCTTGCAGTGATTTTTCTACTCCCTTTGGTGTGTCTTAAGCCAGCCATAAACAGATTGAAATTCAGCCTGTTTGGCAGGGACTGTCTGAATTTCAATCCATCAAAGGTCATGCGTTGTACTGAAGTCGATCTCTTTTTTTTTGTCTGAACACTGCCAGTGGCTATTGCCGCCACCAGTGATCATTGTATTTTGCCGGCAGAGAAAGCTCCCTTTCCTCCCCTTCCTACAGAACACAACCTGTGGTTGAAGGAAAAGAAAATTGTATAATGTTGTTTGTCTTAGGTTGTGTGGCTGTTAGAGGATGAGCAATCCTGTTTTACCAACCTTTTTTTGTGTATTCACGAGAGGCTCTGCTGGACTGAATTAATGTGGTACAACATTCAGTGAGTCAGGGAAATTCTAAGTTAGTTTTTTTTCAACCCATACTCTAAGCATGGTCAGATCTTTCCTCCCCACCCACAGTTTAAGGATATGTTTGAAAGAAACAAGGGGGTGCTGTTGCGCTTAGGAAAAAATTAATTAACATATATGTGAAAGAATTTAACTATATATAAGATACCTATATAGCAGCAGTCCTAAATGTGAATTCCTAAACACAAAATCTTATATATTTAAAAAATGGACCGCGCTAAGGTCACAAATAGACAAAATAAACTGTTCAATCTTTGAAGTGATAGCGCTGAGCAAAATACAAATACAATATTAATATTCAGTCCCAACATGTGAATAGTTGGTGCAATGGTGCTGTATCTTTAACGGTGATACTCTATATTGAATATTGACAAGTGCTTCACTGTGTTCACACTGGTGCCCCACATAGATGTAAACTCACCGTCATTTCAAGACCACCTATCTCTAGGTAAGTCACACTTGCTTTTTGGGACTATCCCAGTTTGCAGTCCGGTCCTGATGAACGATATTCCTTCACCCTTATAACCGTGGTTACAAAGGTTTTGTACTTCCTGAGGACGATCTATTGGTTGAAACTAGTCAAGGGTTTATGACACAACTTCCGCTGATGTCACTTCCGGGATTTGGAACACATGCTGGAATGCGGTGGCCATCTTAATTCCCATTCATAATATACAAAGCTGAATACACCTAGTGCCAGGAAAGGCACTTTTTTTTGTGAGTGGCATTTCTATTGTTTGACCGCATATTAATGTTTTATACAGTTTTACACTATGGGATGTCTGGTTTTGTTTTGATTTATGCTGAAAATATGAAATACTGCCTGTGGAGGAGAGGAGTTGCCTAACATTGATGCAGATCTAGTGGAAAATTATTGGCTACTACCAGCAACCATGGTTATAAGGGCAAAGAAATATCTGCCATCAGGACTGGGTTGCAAACTGGGATAGTCCCAAAAAGCGAGTGTGACTTACCTAGAGATAGGTGGTCATGAAATGACGGTGAGTTTACATCTATGTGGGGCCCCAGTGTGAACACAGTGAAGCACTTGTCATTTCAATGTGCAGTATCACCGTTAAAGATACAGCACCATTGCACCAATTATTCACATGTTGGGACTGAATATTAATATTGTATTTGTATTTTGCTCAGCGCTATCACTTTAAAGATTGCACAATTTATTTTGTCTATTTGTGTCCTTAGTGCTGTCCATTTTTTTAAATATACAGTTAAAGGATAAGTTCACCTTTGGGAACATGTTACATGTTTCACCCATTTTTAGCACCGTGGAGCGCCATGGTAGTTAATTAAAGCAGATATACTGACAGGTCTGCAGGAGATCTGTATGGCACACCAGTGATTACCATGACTAGAGATGAGCGAAGTATTCAAAAATTCGATTCGACTGGATTCGGCGAATTCGTAGAAAAATTTTGATTCGAGTCGAATATATTCGCTGTGAATTTAACTTAAAAAAAGGGTGTTTCTAGGCTTCAGAGAGACTTAATATTAGTGCTGAACACTGTACCTTTAATTTAAATGCCTTGGAGTCTGCTGGGGAAGAGAAAATAATACTGTCAGGCAGTATGACATGCAGATGAGTGCCGTCGATCTTAGAATCACCGCACACTTCACTCATTTGGCCAGTCACGGGGGCCAAAACCAGAGTGTGGAGCCACAGTGTGGCGGGTGGAGGCAGCAGCAATGGGAGGCCATACAGCACCCTATGACAAAAATGGAAACCACCAGCAGTGTGAGGAGACCTGAAAGTGGCACATGGCAGAGTGTGGCGATAGAGACAGCAGCAATGGGAGGCCGTACAGGGACCCATGACACACTCTGGACCTGGCAGCAGCATGAGGAGGCGGTACAGGGGCCCATGGCAGATTACGGGCCTGGCAGCAGCATGAGGAGTCGGTACGGGGGCCCATGGCAGATACAGGGCGCTGGCTGCAGCAATGGGAGGGCCGTACAGGGACCCATGACAACTATCTGGACGTGGGCAGCCAGCTATGGGGAGGACGGGGTACAGGGGCCCAAGACAGATTACGGGCCTGGCAGCAGCCGGATTGGAGTCGGTACGGCGGGCCCATGACACCACTCTGGACCTGGCAGCAGCCTGTCGGAGGCCGGTACAGGGGCGCATGACAGATTACGAGCCTCGGCAGCAGCAACTGCACAGGAAGGGACATTCAGTTTCTGCACCGTCCTGGTGCGTGCTGCGCAAAAAAAAAAAACTAGGGTATTTTTTTTTTTGATTTCTTTCTCTTTGGAAACGGATTCCAAGAAAGACAGCTGACTGGGAATCCGTGAAAGAGGAGATGTAGCAAGAGAAGGGAACATTCTGATCGAAGGCGGAATAATGCACACAAGCCGACAACAGGGGCCCCATGGCAGATTATGGGGCCTGGGCAACCGCAGCTTATGGGAGGCCCGATAGTCAGCACAGCACCCTCAGTATGACAAAAAAATGGAAACCCACCCAGCAGTGTGAGGAGACCCTGAACAGTGGCACCATGGCAGAGTGTGGCGATGTAGGTACAGGCAGCAATGGAGAAGGCCGTACCGGGGAACCCAAGACAACACTCTGGAACCTGGCAGCAGCATGAGGAGGCGGTATATTAGGGGCCTATGCTGGATTAGGGGCTGGCAGCAGCTATGGTAGGCCCGTAATCTGCCAGCCAACCTTTGTATGTCAAAAAATTCTATCACACCAGCAGTGTGTGAGACCTGAAAGTGGTCATGGCAGAGTGTGGCGATGGAGACTGCAGCAATGGGAGGTCGTACAGGGACCATGAGAGGGGACTCGGACTTGGCAGCACATGAGGAGGCGGTATAGGGGCCCATGGGAATTAAAGGGGGCCCGGGGACAGCTATGGGAGGCCCGTAATCTGCAGCCCCCTATACAAAAAATGGAACACACCAGCAGTTGAGGGACCTGAAAGTGGCACTGTTTGGGGGGAGATTCATGGCG